CCTTCCTTCCTTCCTTCCTTCCTTCCTTCCTTCCTTCCTTCCTTCCTTCCTTCCTTCCTTTTTTCTGAACTCAGGACCTTGTTCATACTAAGTACATGCTCTACTACAGAGCCATGTCCTGAGCCCAAGGCTCTTTCTCACCATCCTTCTCCCATCCCTCAGGCTTCAGAATTTTATGCATCTTGATAGGAGAAATGAGAAAGGCACAGCGTCCCTTCAAAGGCTTGGCCTGTAGTCACACACATTACTTCCACTCATGTCCCTTTGGTGAGCACTTGTATAGCAAGTTAGGAAGAGAGGATGGCTACCAAGGGTAATCTCCGAACAACAAATCCACTGTGGAGGAGAAATCATGGCATTTTTGGAGGATGGGTAGTTTCTATTGACCCCCCCCCCCCCCGCTCCTGGCTCTCAAGATTATTGACTAATCCCAGCCTTCATCCTAAGCTCTCCCTCTTTCTATTTATGCTTCTCCTTCCTCCTACACGTGGGCTGGGCTTTCCAAGGGCCAGGACTCTGGTATCTATCTATCTTTATATTCTTTGTACCTCAGTGTAAGAGGCATTGCACCGGAGGAGCTCACCAAATGTTCATCTTATGACCGATCAGCATGGCCCCGGGAACCTGTAAGACAGGAATAACCATCTATGTCGTACTTACTTATTCCAGGACCAAAGCCAGAATGTCTCAATTCTCTAAGGAGGCAGACCTTTTCCCCGTTTGCTCTCTGAGGAGACCATATGTTCTTTTTATCTGTGGCTCATGTCCAGTCTTTTACCATTTCTGGACAGTTAGAGGATAGAGATGCATCGCCCAGTACAGTAACTACTATGTAGACTTGGCTGTTTAGATGAAAGTTAGAAGATCCACTCGAAGGTACAGATTGTTCTGTTGGTCACTGATGAAACTGTTCAAGTTTATGGACTCCTTAACTTAAAGAAAGTGAGAGAGAAAAGGTAAATGAGTTAGAGCAACAGAGAAAGACCTTTCCCAGAGCTTTGGTTCCAATGTGATACCGGTGCAAGGAGGAGGGCAGGTGGAATTTGTGAAGTTCCTCTTTCACCAGCCCGTTTTTTACTCAATATCACATGGGTCCCCTTTTAGCCAGTGCCTGTTTCCCCTTATCCCCTGAAGCAAGCTTGGGTATTACCTAACTGAAATTCTGTGGTAACAAGACTTTTGTGGTAGACTGGCACAATGGGAGACCCCAGTGGATGGGGATATAGCATGCATTTATAGCTTAAGGGAGTGCTCTCGAGTACTTTGGGGAGGGCATATGCCATGTGTCCTAATCTTAGGCTATGGTTGGGATATGTCCCCCCACCTCTGCCGTCAGGGGTTCATGTGCTGGAGGCTTGGTCTCCATTTAGCAGTATGGAGAGGTGGTAGATCGTGCTGAAGCATCAGGCTAGGGCGAAGGTCCGGAGGAATTCTTAGTCAGTGGATCCAGTGGCCACCAGGTTACTGAAATGAACTTGGAGAATGGGTTTCTAACTTAGAGAACCAAATGGGCCATTCCCTCCTCGGTACTTAAAAACAAAATGCCTGTGAATTTATTTAAATGAAGGCGTGTGCGTGTTTGCGCACATTTGCATGTATACGTACATACACGCACACTCACAGCCTATGACTGTGAACACACACTACACGTGTGTGTCTTTTATCCACTCTTCCTTCTAACAATGCCCTTTACTACTAAGTTCTCTGGCTTTAGCATCCTAAACTTCCCCTAAGTCCACTCCTGTCCAGCACAGGGGTCTTCTTAGTGGAGGTCTTCATCTTTTGCCAGCTCTCTGTCAACTGTAGGGCTCTCTGGAAGTGGAAAGCGAGGAGCAGCAAGTCCATGTCGACTGCCATGGTCTCCGTGAACTAACAGGCCTCTTCTGACAGTGGAGATATCTTTTGCCATCATTTTCTTTTTTGGTTGTGAATAATTTATTATTGGTGTTTTTTTTTTTTTTTTTCTGTGATGGCATTTTTGAGTTTATTCTTCCTATCTTTTTTGCTTGTGTAAACTAGCATACTCCATTACTCTTCATCTCTTTATTTTATTTTTTCTTTTCTTTAACTGACTGTCATAGAAATACTCTTCAACCCTTTCTTACTTTATTCCGAGACTACATTATAGTTTATCACACTATACAGCATCCAGCAGAGCTCCAGGGACTTGGACCTGACCTGGGTGGTGAGGGAATGAAGAAAAGACAAACATATAGACACACCGAAAGAAAAGTTGGGATTGGGTGGTCTGGGCTCTCTGATGGAGAAGCTTCAGAACCCTGGAAGTTCAGTGTGTTTGCTGTATACAGTTGAACAGGAAGGTGGGGTTGTTGCACGCAGCTATACAAGGAGGTTTGGTTATTAGTCAGATGAACAAAGAGGTGTGGTTGGTACATACAATTGAACAAGGAGGCAGGCTTAGTTAATCTTGAGAGGAGCAGTCTCTGTAAGGCACAAACTTTAGGCTATAAAGACCTGGGGGAGAAAGTTATAACAGAGATGTTCTGTGTAGACTATCAACATTTGCACTGGAGCACGAGGGAAGGCTTAGCCGTTTCTCTGCACTTAGCCCATTTTCTCATAGGTCTAACGCAGGGTTCTCAACCTTCCTAATGTGGGGCCCTTTAATACAGTTCTCATGTTGTGGTGACCCCCAACCATAAAATTATTTTCATTGCTACTTTATAGCTGTAATTCTGTCACTGTTAAGAATCATAATGTAAATAGCTGATATTTCCAAATATCAGACAATCCCTGTTAAATGGTCATTTGGCAAACAGGGAGTCATGACCCACAGGTTGAGAATCACTGGCCTAAGGCTTCGGAGTCCTTGACATGGCTGTGTCCACAGCAATGGAGCACACTCACTCAGGACTTCATTCACTCAGGGCCCTTTTCTACTAACCCGTTAACCTTAATCAATTCTATTTTGCATTTCTATTTTAAAAGATTCATTATTTTATGCGCATGAGCATTTTGCCTGTGTGGATAGCTGTGCATATAGTGCCCAAGGAGGTCAGAAGAGCATCACAGCCCCTGGAACTTGAGTTACAGTTGTGAACTGCCATGTGGTTGCTGAGAATCAAACCGTGGTCCTATGCAAGAGGAACGAGCAGCCCGTGCCTTTAACATAGGTTTCTCCATTTATCCAGCCCTCCTGTTGCTTTTTTTTTGTTTGTTTGTTTGTAAGCCAGTGGGTTTAGTTAGTTAGGATTACTTCTAATCATCATAAAAGGTTATTTATTCAAACTGGATTACTTCCCAGTCGCTATTCCTCTCCCAGCAACAGTTAACATCTATAGATTCTCAGTAAGAGGCTGGGTCTTGTGACTCCGTCCTCCACGACAGAATGTTGACAGGCCCAGTCTTGTGCAGGTGATCACAGCTTCTGGAGTGAGGACTCACGCTGTTCAGCAGGCCTGATGCACTAGTTGTCCATTGCTGCAGACATGGTGGCTGAATGCTACACGCATCTCTCCCCTTACAACTCTGGGTGCTGAGAGTCTGGGCAGGCTTAGTGGTTCCCTGCTCATAATCTCCCAGAGGTAAGATGGAGTTGTCAACCAGGCTGTGAGCTAGAAGAGGAAGCATTTGCATTCTTGTAGGCGGGTTGATGACCATATTCCCTTCTATATGGTCATACGGCTAAGGACCCTGTTTCATTGCCAACCTTTATGCTGTCAGGCCTTTGAAATGTTTTGCTGATTTTTGTAGAGGTTACCTTCTTCCAGCCAGAATGAATCTCTGCTGTAAGGGCTTGTGTGAGTAGATCAGGCCGCAGGATCATCTTTCTTCCTGTCTTAAGGTCAGTTGTTCCAAGTGACAGCAACCACAGGAGCGGTAGCTCCCAGTGTCTTAAATTCCTGGGGAGGGAGCAAGGTCTGGTGGTGGTGTTCCAGACATTTGCAGAGATGTGCTTACGACATGGACTATTTTAGGAGGCATATGAAATTGGGAAGTTGTGTGTGTTATATGTGAGCATGTGTGTGTATGTACATAGCTGTGTGTTCATAGGTGTTTGTGTTTACACATGAAACTGTAGGCATCAGTCATACAGTAGACTAAGCAGTGGATTCAAAGTCCTACATAATTGCGTCTAGTTCGCACTGCTTGTTAATTAGCCTGTGTGTCTCAGGCAGTTCATGTAGCCTCTTTGAGCTCAATTTCCTCATCAGTTAGGATAACTAAGCTCTGATCTGGCTTGTCTGAGGGTGGTGATGGTGTCTGTCAGGACATTGTATGGAGTAAATAAGAGACACAGGATAGGGCTTGCACACATAGGCTGATTCTGTCATTAAACATGTATGATTGGATGATTACCTGTGCTCCCCGCAGGTAGAATTATGAAGCCTCATGAAGTGCTTAACACAGACCCCCTAGGAGCCATCAGTAGAATATGGCTGGGTTCCACACTGCCTGACTTAGGGTTAGCAACTGACTGCTTTTCTCTTCCTGCCTAGATGGAGTCTGCCTGTGTAACTATTCACGAGGCCCTGAAGACTGTGATCGACTCCCAGACACATTATCGCCTGCGAGAGGCCCAGGACCGAGCCCGAGCTGAAGACCTTAATAGTCGAGTGTCTTACTGGTCTGTAGGCGAGACCATCGCCCTATTTGTGGTCAGCTTCAGCCAGGTGCTACTGCTGAAAAGCTTCTTTACAGAGAAACGACCCATTAACAGAACAGTCCACTCCTAACTGTGCAGTCCATGCCACAGCCCCTCAGACCCTGGGGTCTCAGGTTTCTGCAGGGGTGGGAAGGTGACACAGGGTGAAAGGAGAGCTGCAGGGAGAACAGAGGCCACACTTGGTCGTGTGTGCACACATCTGATCCTTGCACTCCAGCAACTGAAGCTCACAGAGCTCAATAATCTGATTGTATTGTGTTTGTAACATTAACCAAAAATGTTTATGGGTCAGCCTAGGGATTGGCCACTATGGTGCAATGATCCAGTATCCGGTCTGTGGGAGAACACAAGTACATAGGCTTCCAGGGCAGCTTAGGGTTCTGCCACTGCTCCATGATACCTGGGTCATTAGGTTGTTGTATAGGAGGAGGAGAAAGGAACTCTGAGTTTGTGTCCTCTTCCATCTGGAGAAATAAACTGAGTTCTGACCTTCCCATGATGGGCCTCTCTGTACCTGAGCAAAGCAGGTCTAGCCTGGAAGCAGTAGGGTCAGCCATTCAACCAGGATTCAAAGGGAGAATGCGTGCCCTTGGTGATCTGTGTCTCTTGGAGGCAGAACTGTGCTAATAAAAACCAAAATTTGAGCACTCTAGAGGGCTGTGCCTTTATTTCTTTGCCTCAGAGGAACTTCCAGCTTAATGAGGAGCATGGTTGTGTATGTAAACTGTGTGAAAGAGGAAGTGGATGTCTGTATACAGTATAGCGAAGAGATGCAGAGAGGAGCCATCGAACCATGCCCCTCCCAAGGGGATGGCAACAGGAAGACCCCTTCCCATTCTTGTCACTCCCCTGTCTGTGCAAAGGCTGTGTATAAATGGTTTCCACTGTTATAACAACCAAGCCGTCTGCATGATCTGCCTCCTCATTTCCTGTTAATCAGATGTCATCTCTCTGTTTAGGGTGGCATCACACTTCCTCTAATGCTTCTCTGTTAGGAATTAATGCATACTATGGAGTCTGTGGGTCTGGAAGGAAGATGGGCTGTCCATCTAAAAGAAAGCTACAAGGGAATCTGGAAATCCAAGTTGACAATAACACATTCTGGGAAAGAGGGCAGCACAGTCCTTTGAGAAAACAGCTTGGAAACCTTATTATTTAGCTTGATGGAGAAGAAGATTTGTTTTCTGTGTGGTTTTGATGGTATTTCTTTTGTCTCATTTTGAATTTAAGTATATCTAAAAGATTGTTTTATAAACTCCAGGGCAGAGTGAGAAACAATCAACTTTAATATATCTGCTACCCAGATTAATAAAATCCCTGGGCTAATGCTTTTTTATTTTGTTTTGGTTTTTGTTTGTTTGTTTGTTTGTTTTTTGAGATAGTTACTGCTATGTAGCCGAGGTTAGTCTCCAGCTCTCAATCCTGAGCGCTGTTTTAAGTGGTGTGCACAACCACATCTAGCTGTAACCTGCACTTCTTAGATGCTCCCTAGCTGCGTGACCCTCGCCAGTCCCAGCTTCTGTGGGAACCACCAACTTGAACATTTTGTTCTTCAGTCACTGAGGAGGCCCAGGAGTCCATGCCATTGCTGGAATACAACTTCTCATGTGATTCTTCATTGAGAGAGGGATGGGGAGGAAGGGAAGAAGGAAGGGAGAGAGGAAGAGGGGGAGAGAGAGGTTCTCCTAACTTTTAGAAAAAAAGAAATAGAATTGCTAGTACACCCTTTATTAATATTACCTCATTTAACTGTCAAGAACACAGACTCAGGGAGACACTGTCCCATTCATTCAGTTTTGGAAATAATGTTTGCAATGCAACTTATAGTTTGTTTATTGTTTGACAAATATTTTTGATCAATTATACACTAGTAACAAGTTTAACAATTACCCAGTCCTGAAGACAGTTTTTAACCTGTCGAGTTTTACAGTTCTTCAGCCAATGAAGCAAAATTTTAAATGAAAGAGCTTTAAGCAGATTATTAGGGTACTGCAAATAATAATTGCAAACACGGAAGACATGTGGTGTAGAAGAAATGAATGGAAACATGAAGATAGGGAGGAAAGGGAAAGCTGGAAAATCTGAGCATGCACTAGATGGAGGATCTGAAGTCACTTTGAAGCATCCAAATAGTCATAAATGTTGACAAGTTAATGCTTAAGCTCTGTCTTTCAGAGCCCTGTGTTCATTATGAAAAGGTTTAGATAGGAATTTAAAAATGTGTGGGACTTTATGGTTTCTCCAGTTTTCTTTGGGTATTCAAGAAAAAGAATAGAAAGCACTTCTTTGCTACAAGCCTGGCCTCCCTGGGAAATACTACTATTTCACATGTTGGAAGAGGTGTTCAATTTTGCATTTGATAGGAAATACTCAATTATTTTGGCCCCCAGGTCTACCATGCATCATGGAGAAGGTGATGAGCTGCTTGCTTTGAGCTGTCCTTATTGGCGAGGTAAGAGTATTCTAACTGGACAGGGATTTGGGCCATAAACATCACTGTTGAGCAGAATTCACTCTCTTCGAGCAAAAATGTATTTGAGTTGAAGCCTGGATGCTGCTGACAGGTGGCTCTTAAAGGCACATCTGTTCTTCAGCTTACCCAGGAGACTTGAGAATCCCTATGGGAAGAGGAAAAGACTTCTAACTTCCTTTGAGGGTTAATATTCTCAAGGGGAAGAGAGGCTTTTAAAAACTAAGGGCTGGGTACATAGAAGGTATAAAGTTGGCACATTCAGGAACTTGTGTCTGAGTCCCTCGGAGGAGGGAGAAGAAATAGAAGGGGAAGAGAGGGAAATGGAATGAAGAAAAGGGAAAGAGATCCAATGAAATGAGAGAGATCCAATGAAATATGGTATGCTTCATAGCGTATGTTTCCAAAACAATTGGAGTTTCTGCAGGGATATTTCTAAAGTCATTATGAATTTGGATAGTTTGGGACTGTCCCCAGCACTGGGAATTGGCCTGAGGCAGTGATTCTGGCTGTTCTAGCTAGGCCACAGCCCTGTACCAGTCATACTACTGCAGTGCGTATTTGAAGCTCATGTATTGTTCCTGTCAGACCCCCTCCATGGGACCACACTGAGTAGACATTTGTTAAAATACATTTGTCTAAACAGAATAAAATTATGAGCCTGCTACCAGGTATCAGATTAATATATGCTAAAGGTTTTATTCCTGAATCAGTGGGGCATCTGGTCTCAATGGTTCGAAAGAGAATTCAAGGGACAGACATTAATACAAAGCTATGAAGTAGCTCAAAGACACTGAGACAGGCTTGCCAGTAACCCAGGAGGATGTACTATATAGAGAAAACAGTTGCAAAAATAGCTCAAGGTCAAGGTTGGACTTAGATGGTCGGGGGGGTGGTATATAGAAATACAGAGGTTTTATTTTTGTTGTTTGCTTTAAACATATTCTTCCTTCCTCAGAAATCTAAAGGGGCTTTCACTCTCAGCATCCAGGGAGTGGCACTGGTGCTGAAATCAAGCAGACCAGCTGTTCCATTTTTCTCTAGTTCCAAAAGGAGTCATCCTCTGGTCTTTCCAGGCCTGGGCTTCGAAGAACTTACAGCCGTCTTCTCTTGGGATTTCACCTTAACCTTAGACTGTTTTTTGCCCTTAATTTCACTGCTCAATAAATAATAAATCTTGCTCAATTAGAATGGGAAGAAATGGAGGATGGAAGAAGTAAGGAAAAAATTCAGTTGTTGAAGATTCTGGTTGCTACAGAGGAAGTATTTTTGCCTGGCTTCCATCAATTTTTGCAATTCCTAGTTGGGATTGGCAGTTCAATAGCTTTTCTTTGCTCATCACTGGAGTTCCTGTGGTCATGGGCTATACTACTTTGGGGGATGGTTCATTTTATCTCAATACAAGTAAGGCCTTCAAAAAAAATAAAATGACTGCTTATTTGGGGTTACCAAGTAGCCCTCCACTCTACCCCACCCCTTGACTACCCCCTTCTTTTTCTCTAGGAAGATCCCATGTGTTTAGGGGGTTGAGTAAGACTTCTAAGCTATAGAAATACAGGGATGAGGTTGTAAATGGTTTACAGCATTGTTCTTACTGCTCTGACATTCAGAGACAGTGAGGCAGCTTCTGCTGAGGCTCTCTAGTATGTGCCAATCAAAGTATGCTGCTTTCTTTTGTATTTGCTTCAACAGCAGCTTTAAAAAGTCATGTTTCTTGGGATTTCTAGATGTTTCAATAAGTAAAGGTGTTTGCTGCCAAGCCTGAGAAACTGTTCAACCTCTGGGACCCATATGGTAGAGGGAAAAAACTGACTCCCATAGGTTGTTCTCTGACCTCCACATGAATGTCATGGCATGTTTATGCCCTTTCCAGTGTTCCCATATAAACCCATGCACGCATACACATGTGTGTACATGCTTTTACAAACAAACTAAAGACATAAATGATTTTAAAAGTCATCTTTCTTGGCATTTGTTTCCATAGCAAAGAGGAATAGTTAGAAGTGAGAAAGATGGCTGCTTTGTGTAATACAAGAGGATAACTCAAGTGACAACACATGCTGGCGAGGATGTGGAGAAAGGGGAACCCTCCTTCATTGCTGGTGGGAGTGCAAATCTGTAAGACCTATTTTGGAAATAAGTCTGGCGCTTTTGCAGAAAACTGGGAATAGCCATGTCTGAAGACCCAGCTATACCACTCATGGGTATATTCCCGAAAGATGCTCCACCATACAACAAAGACATTTGCTCAACCATGTTTATAGCAGCTTTGTTTATAATAGCCAGAAACTGGAAACAGCTTTGATGTCTATCAACTGAAGAATGGATAAAGGAACTGTGGTACATTTACACAGTGAAATACTTCTCAGCCATTAAAAAAAATGAGGAAATCATGAAATTTGCAGGCAAATGGATGAAACTAGAACAGTTCATCCTGAGTGAGGTAACAGACCCAGGAAAACACACATGGTATGTATGTACTCACTTAGAAACTGATTTTAATCATATAAGTATAGGATAGACATACTCAATACACAAACCCTAAGAAGTTAAGTCTGATAGGCATCTTAGGCTTCATGTTGGCCACTATTTAGGGGAGTGGGGCATATCTCTGACATGGACTATGTTTCCTTTTTTTTGATCACTTCCCTACCAGGTCACAGGGGAGGAAGATGAACTCAGTCCCCATGTGAATAGATGAGCTGGAGTGTCTGGGTAGGGGAACTCTGCTTTTCTGAGGAATAGAGGACAGGGGATGTGGGAGGGAGGGTGGAACTGGGAGGAGAAGAGGGAGGAGCCTATGACTGAGATGTAAATTGAATTAATTAATAAAAAAAAAGAAAAAGTCATGACCCTCTCCAGGATCATTATGCAACCTGATTACAGCCTGGTTTATTATATACTTTGCCTTTAAGAAGAGAAGAGCTAACTACATTTCAGTTAAAAAAAAGTCACCTCAATTTATGAAGACATATTTCTGGTAATTAAGATACTAACTTAAAATGAATCCCTTGCCCTGCCTCCAGACAAGATGTTTCCTGCCATGATCTTGAGATTTGCTGAAGGAGCACAGCGGTGGGACCAAGTGACAGGGATTGGAACCCTGATCCCAAATAAATTTCTCCTTTAAATCGATTCTTGGAGAGCTTTTTGTCACAGCCGTGAAAAAGTGCTTAGCACAG